AAAAGAAAGAGAGGGAGAGGGAGAGGGAGAGGGAGAGGGAGAGGGAGAGGGAGAGGGAGAGGGAGAGAAGGGGAAAGATAGACAGAACTTGGGAGTTCATATAGCCTGTTTGGGATAGTTAGAAACCCCAGAGTAGTTAGGCAAGTTAGGGGCCTGCCAGACACTCCTCAACTCCTATGGCTATCATCTGTCTGAACTCAAGCCTCCTATTTTGTCTGTCCAAGCCATGGTGTAGCATAATGAAGGCCCACAAGTGGTTGAGACTTAGTATATGCATCCTAAAAAGAAAAGATCATCATCAACCATCCTTAGGGATATGTGGATCCTAGAAGGCACTATCTTAGACACCGAGGAAATCCATGCTGAGAAGTGACAACTGGAAAAGAACCCTTTAAAGATGTTGGACCATGTGATTTTACATTTCTCCCATGCGCAATTTTGAGTTGTGTGAATTCTGCAATATGTTTCAATTCATGCTGTTTATATTAATTGAACCACCCAGCCTTAAAGGGGTGTACTGCTTTCTACTCTGCTATGTGAGGAAAGATGGAAAAGGACACTGGATATTCCTAAGGATCTGTGGTTAGGTGTCCTGTATTGTGACTCCCCAGCTCCTCCCATACTAGGTATGTAAGATAGGCCAGCATCTTCTGGTCTTGTTCTGCAGTTGCTTGTTTGTAAAATGAAGACAATATGATTCTTGACAGGGGCTGTGAGAGGAGGAAACAAAATGAAATCTTTCCTGTCAATTATTTTCTGGCACATGCTTAAGTGCTTCAACACATGTTAGGCATCAATGTTATTTATGTTTGTTTTAAGGAACAGGCAATGGTCTTTTAGAATGATTATAGGAAGCCTGTCAACTGCAAAGTTGGAAAAGAGACAGAAGTTTTAAGCAAGAGAGATGTTTCAACAGCAAAATAATATGTCACTGTGGAAAACTGGGTTTAGTCTGTGCATGGGATAATAGAATTAAGTATGCACGTTCCAAACTTGTAGGCAGGGGCCATCACTGGACAGGTCCCTGTCCCCTTTTGGGTTGTAGTTTTTCTACCTATAAAAGGTAAGTGGAAGACTATACAATGATCCTGAGGGCTTTGAGGAACAGCTTTTCATGAACCTGTGTGGCTACCAGCCTGAAGAGTGGACAGAACAGCAAGGTCTCCTGGGTTCCTTACCTGAGGTACTCATAGAGCCCATACATAGGCAGGAAGTCAATGTCAGATAAGAACATGTAGGGTGTGCTGATATGCTTCATAGCCACGTTGCGCAGGAGATTGACAGGATAGAACTGACCCTCCTTGTACACGATGTGGTATCCCACATTCTGCCGGCTCATGAGCACCTCGGATCCCTGGGCATAGCGGAGGAACTGCTGGGCTTCTGCATCCGACAGGTAGAGGGCCAGACTGATGGGTCCCTCCCAGTGTTTACAGATGGCCTCCAGCATCTGTAGTCTGGAATAGAGGTGAAGAAAGTAGCATCAGCAGGCCATCTTCTAGCCCCTGTCTCTAATATCTCCTGGTCAATCAGCTACAAAATCAAACCTCTTAACTAAAAATGATTCATTTCCTCATCAGTAAAGCAGACACAGAACAAGTACCTTGTTGATTCTAGTCGTTGTATCCTTGCAACTGACTAACATCAACAGTCACACATACTCTAAGTCTCATATTCATCCTCAAAGGTACTATGGATTGGTTAGGTGTTACCCCAAAGGTTCATGTGACCGAAGCCAGGTCTTTGATGTGGTATTGCTGAGACCTTTAAAAGATGAGACTGAGGGGAAAGTAGCTCAGTCATTTGGGTTGCTACCCTTATTTAGATGAGGTGAGTGTTATTTCTCATGGGATCTCAGTTGATTTCCACCAGTATGGACTACTAAAAATAAATTGACACCCTTGGGTTCCTGTCTCAACAGAGATCTTGCCTTATTCTGGAAATCCAGTAACTTTTATTGAAGAGACAGGTGAAGATGGACACAAAGCAGCACACCTTTAATCCCAGCAGTCAGCAGGCAGAAGTCTGGTCTACATATTGAACACCAGAACAAAACACAGAGAGATACTATGTCTCAGAAAACCAGCTCCCACAAAGAAGAAGAAGGAAGTAAAGGAGGAAGAGAGGGAGAAGGAGGAAGAAAAGGAGGAAGAGGAGGAAGAGGAGGAGGAGGAAAAGAAGAAACAGAAGAAAAGGAAGAGGAGGAAGAAGGGTTTTCTTGATTACTTTTCTGTATGAAGCTGTTTCTCTCTTGGCTTCATTGTCACATTTTGACAGCCAAGGGACCCTTTGGTTCCCAACATTTACAAGCATTTCTGTTCGTATCACCAAATATTTTGTTCACCAGAGTCTGAATCAGTTGTTATGGTTTGGAGATACAGCTTGTAGTACTGTGACATAAATAGATTTCTTTTCTTTATAAGTACTTAGGTTCAGACATTTTGCCACAGTAACACAGAATAAATACTGTAAAAGAGGTGGGATGAATATGTGTGTGACTATAGTATAAGGGCTGAACTTTTCCAGCCCAAACTCCTGTTTTCTCTCAGCAAAGCCTTAAAACTCTTGCAAATCTCCTAAAGCACTCACCGCCTCCAGAAGCTTGGTCCCAAGGAACATTCAAATAAGCACTAAATGAAAAATAACCACAATTATTGCCAAAGTCTGGTGTGCCAACCACCTTCCAGAATTCTCACAGTACTACTATGCAACTTCCTGTTGAAGAAACTGCAGCTCTAGCTTGGATTTGTGAAAATTTTGACCCAATATTCATAGACAGATGCCTTAATGGGGTCTTGGAGTTGGTGAGAAAAGAACAAAATTAGTGTTTTGCAAAAGATACAGAAAAAAACATAAGGACAATAAAAACTCAATTGTATATGGGGTACCTTGGGTGGTACTATCTTCGATTTTCAGCATTTCCTGCTCTAGGACATCCTGACCATCTTTGCAAGGTAGAGCTGGGCCTGGTGGTTAAGCAGGCCTCTGTTCATGGCAAGAGAACTGCTGTATGTCTAGTCTGGACAACACAGTGAGTTCCAAGACAGCATGGGCTCCCTCAAAAATAAAAAAACACAACACCACCAGCAGCAGCAGCAGCAGCAACAAAACAAATTAAAACAGACCAAATAGAAACAAAAACACAGAACAAGTTTGCAGGGCTACTGCAAAGAGCTGAGGAGATAGGGGTGCTGAGTAAAATCCAGTGAAAGAACAAAAAGGTTTCTCCAGCAGGAATGAGGCAGTAAGAAGGTTTGGCAGTCAATCATGAAGATTCTATTTTAAAGACATCAGAAATATTTGGTGTATAAAGCCTGTGCTAATGACAGAGCAAAAGCTCATTTCAGTGCTTTTTTCCACCTCTACTCAGCAAGAGGTATCCACAGAAACAACAGTCTCCTCGCCAGAGTCCCTGCTTTATGGGGCAATTACCTAGAAATCGATGCTATGCCATGCATTTCCATGCTTCTAAACAAAAAGGAAACAGGTACACCTGCTTCTTTTCAATGGATTTTCTGTTACATGTCCATAGCTTTCTTACAATGATTCTGTCAGTTGGTACTACAATGATCTGCTGTTTCTTTCACTGGGGAGGATTAAGAGGCCCATGAGAGTAAAGTACCCTTGTGATTTCTGTCCTCTACTAACCATGGGCAATGAGATAATATTTAAGGGCTTCTGGATTGTATAACCCCACTGAACTTGTGGGTCAGTTTTATTGTAGGTTCCTGCTTTTGCCTAGTCCCTGAGGATCTCTCTTTGTGCATCTGTGGAATGGAGGGACTCTGAGCAGCCATGCATGCCATGAACAACCATTGGTATGAATCCTTTGGAACACGAAAGCAAACAGCAAGACTGACAGTCTCTTCTTGTTTAGACAGGGAGGCTGCTGAGGCATGGACAGCAGGAGGAGTATTTAACTGGAGAGAGGATGGCTAACTCTAAGCTCCACTAAGAATCTGGAATGAAAACACAGTCAAAGGTTCTCGGGACCAAGGTGCTGTTGATATGAAAAATAAGCTAAACTTTATAGAATGCTTTCAGAATTGCAGTGAGGAACTAGGAAAAAGAGTTACACTGCTCATTTCTGGTGGATTCCATCAGCCACAAACCCTTCAAACTCTTCTTCCACAGAGTTGACCATTCAGCAAGGATGCACAAACTGATAAACTGAGGTTGCCAGCAAGGAAAATGGTGGTATAAAATGTGATGCTGTAATGAACTTCTTAATTCCTGCTGCTAGATAGGTATCAGCCATATGGTAGCTGCTATCAGATTTGATATTCAAAGGGATTACAAAGGGAATTGATTTCTTAAAGCAAGCAGCCTTAAATTGGGAGGGTGGCTTTACACTTAAGTCTGTTTGATCAAAAGTCTAGAATCCAGGCTACCAGTCAATGGATATGTTAGGATCAGAACAAACACCTCTAATCCTTTCCCTCTCTTTGCCTGTCTCTGCAAATAAGAAAGCTGTGTTTGTTTCCTTTCTAACTGATGTGAAAAATGGCTAACAAGAAGAAACTTAAGGGACTCAGGGTTTATTTTGACTCTTTTTTTTTTTTTAAATGATACAGTGGTGGGAAAGTCATGGTGACAGGGCTGTGGGCAGTTGTTACATAATGTTTGCAGTCAGGAAGTGGAGACGAGAGATGAAATGGGGGTGGACTAGAAAACTTTAACTACTCACTCAAATGACCCATTTCCTCCAACAAGGCTCTACTTTGTAAAGCTTCCACAAGCTTCTAAAACAGCACCAATACCTAGGACCCAGTGTTTAGCCATCTGAAATGGGAGACATGTTACCTCCAAACCCCAACAAACATGTGTTTTAAAGCTGTCAAGTATTCTCTATTCCTTTCCCATTGTTGGCCCCTCTTTGGTTCTGTCACAAAGGCCCACCATTCTCTCATGGATATTGTTCTCCACAAATGTTTCTTAAGGAACATCGATCCCTATACCATTTCAAATGATATAAATCTCTATGCATCTTTTTGGACTCTGACCTGGAAAGATGGGGCAGTCAGACATTTTGGATTCTGGGCCAGAGCAACACATTTCAGGAGGCAAAGGTCAATTAAAAAATTATTGTAAGTTTGGGGAAAGTATTAAAGTTCTATACGTGTGTGTGTGTATGTGTGTGCGCGCGTGTGTGTATGGGACTGTATCATTTTTATGATGAAGGAGCTGAGTTTTAGAGAGGAAATATTTGCCAATGTGAGGATGAACCAACCCAGAAGATAGATCAAGAGACTTTAAGAAGTTTTGCCTCTCTGTTCTAAATTTTCCCCACTTCAGCACAGAACCACTCCTACTTTCTCCTGGAGAGAGTGAACAAAGGGTTCAGGATCAGAATCTTGTTATATTATTATATTTGATCTCTGAGGTATGAAGTATAGGTGAGCAACTAGTGATGGTATTTTGATGTCAGTGTACGTATAAATTCACTGAGAATGAGAATATCTTTGGCTAATTACAAAAGCTACCTAATTTTCCCTATCAACACTTCATGTTTGACACTCACATAATTCATGCCTAGTCATGTGACTTGGCATAGTTCATGAGACATTAGCAAAACTGAAGTTAGAAGCATTAAAAATTATTCAGGCACTTGGATTTGATCCTCAACACTCTAGGAACCCCATGACACCTCCTACCTTGTGAATAAGTCTACATTACCTAGCTTGCTAGTGAGCCACATACCCAAGTAGTCTGACCTATCATTAGAAGACTGTCTTAGTTAACAGCAGACATCTGAAGGGACCCATAGGCACCCAGCCCAAAAATTTGGGATAGTTTATTAAGCAGCAAAACAAAATGTGATTGGGTTTGCTAAAATAACTGTAGGAAGGTCATGGTAGAAAATTGGATACACAGCAGGTTCTCAGTATCTGAAAACTATAGTTTCCTCATTTCTGCCTCTCAAACAAACTTTCATACAACAAACGAATATTACTGTCAATGTTCCCAGGATGCTATACAGACACAGTTCTTCCATTTCTGGGCTTATGCAACAATAGTGGACAAGACAATAAACTAAACACATTGAGGGGAGTTCAGATGGAGCTGTGTGCTAATGATGCAAGGAGCAGGAACTCAGAAGACTCAAGAACAGAAACTCACTCAGAAAGGGCCAGGAGTAGTCATTCTGAGATGGTGAAACTAATGACTTGGAGCTATGCTCCTTCTACAAAACCTGTGTGTTCAAATCCTAACTCCCACAGTGATGGTCTTAGATGGAGGGAATTCTGGGAAATGATTGTGGCATAAGGGTGTGCCTGCTGTGACTAGGACTAATATTTTTAAAACAGAAACCTCAAACAACTCTCCTATAAGTAGGCTGTACCCATATTTGGGCATAATTAAATTATTTAATTTATGTAACTCTTCTTTGAAAAGTCTACACCCATCCACCAATCATTTTGCCTGAGTATCTCTCTTTCTTATATACACAAATCTG